TTAAACTAAGTACAATATTGTATAACTGTATTAATTCAACTGTAAACCTAAAAATTTACAGCCAATTTTGAATGAGATGCATCTTAACTCTGGAAATTGTTATTGAATATGTCAATGCTGTTGTAATGAAATGCATCTTCTAATTAAAAAAAAAAGAAGAAAAATAGTAATGGAGGATGTGAAGTAGGAACAGGGTGTAGAGGGGTACAGATGAGGGATGGGATCTGTACAAAATTCTTCAAGAATAAATTATTTTTAAAAAGGAAAGAAAAGATATTAAAGGCATCAGACACTGAAGGGGCGAAGTGAGGAGAATATTTCCTAATTAAAAAAAAAAGAAGAAAAATAGTAATGGAGGATGTGAAGTAGGAACAGGGTGTAGAGGGGTACAGATGAGGGATGGGATCTGTACAAAATTCTTCAAGAATAAATTATTTTTAAAAAGGAAAGAAAAGATATTAAAGGCATCAGACACTGAAGGGGCGAAGTGAGGAGAATATTTCATTGTTAGTATCTGAGGCAGTCACAGTGACTTTGCCCTTGAGGGTGTTCTTTAGACTGCAAGAGTACCTGCTGGTGTGGAGGGTATTTCTGGCCATTTCCCTCGTCTGAAAGTAGTAAAACAGAGAAGGAAGATCTGATAGACAAGGAAAGCGTACCCTTTAGGAGTTAGCTACTGCAGCACTGGGCACTACACAGCACTGAGCACTAAGAGTCCATTTCTCTCTGTTCTGCCTATGTATAGATACTGCTGCTCTCACAGGCATGGTGTGGACCCTTGTCTCCTGGCCTGCTGCCACCAAGGACTGCTTAGTAATAAAAGATGCCCAAATTCCCATTGAGTTCTCTGAGCTCTTTTTTCGGTATTTTGAAACAGTTGTTATTCTTGAGGCTTTGAGCTTGCATAACAGATTATTTAGAAAACACCAATTTGAGGAACTGAGAGAAGAAAAATGATTCTTTCACTAGAATAAATAGCATAGTCTAATGGATGTCTGTTTTCTAGGGGTTGGAGAGAACTGGCAATGGACTAAAGACACTCTCAAAATCAGGACACGCCAGAATCCTAAAGCAGTAACAAATGAAGGGATTAGGTGGATAGACAGGGCCACTCTTCAGAATAACGCAGTCAAGGTGTATGAGCTCCCGTTTGAAAGGCCGTGTACGTACCTCTCTCTACAGTAATAGGTAATGATGGATCCTGAAGTAAAAGTTTCACCTTCAAAATAGCCATGAACTGGAATCCCAGGATGTTCACAGTCTCCTAAGAGAAAGAAGTACAGGGGTGAGATTTGTGAGAGACAGTTGTGATCAATAAACAGTGTCCGCTATAGGCAACTGTGTACAGGGTCTGCCATCTTCACAGCAGGACAAATGGGATTCAGGGACATGTTCTTCATTCATTTCCTTCTCATGAAAATCATATTTGTTCATATTTGTTCATATTTGTTCATGGGATAGGCTCTTCCCCCAGCGTACTGAGGGATGCCTTCCGACTGGCAGAGCTCAAGGGGAGGAATTATAAGTCATAGAGCTGTTGATGTTTGTTAGAAAGCAAGAAAAGACAAGCTAAGGCTTAGGATGTAGCTCAGTCGTTAGAGTACTTGTCTAACATGTACGAAGTCCTGGGTTTGCCAATCACCAGCACTGAATAACCAGGAATGATGGCACATACCTAGAATCCCAGCACTCAGGAAGTGGAGGCAGGAGGACCAGAAGCTGAGACAGGATGGAAGGAGAAAGGGAGGGAAGAGGAGGGAGGGGAGGGAATGGGAGGGGAGGGGAGATGACATATACCTATAATCTCAGCACCCAGGAAGTAGAGGCAGGAGGATCAGAAGCTGAGACAGGATAGAAGGAGAAGGGGAGGGGAGGGGACAGGAATGAAAAGGAGGGAAGAAGAGGAAAGGAGAGGAAAAATTAGGCCATAAGGGGAAGGAGAAGTAAATCACCAAGACAGGAGGTGAAGGGATTGAGCTCTAATAGAGATTTTACTCCGGTTTTACACTAATGTGGTGCCACAAAGCCATTTTACCCCTCTTGGCTTACTTTTTTTTTTCAAAAAATATTCTATTTTTATTTATGGGGATGAGTTTTCATCTGCATGTATGTAAGTGCACCATGTTCATGCAATGCCTGTGGAGACTGAAGAGGGCCTTGGATTCCCTGGAACTGGAGTTACAGTTATTAGCTTCCATGTGAGTTCTGGGAACCAGACCCTGTTCCTCTGCAAGAACAGTCAGTGCTCTTAACCACTGAGCCACCACTCCAGGCCCTCTCAGGTTGCTTTCTAATCATTTAAGTTTTAGAGAAAGATTTCCATTGCCTCAGTACAAACAGACATATTACAGGTTTTAAAAAATGTCCTGACACTGGTTACCACAGCAGGGGTTTGGTTCTAAGTCCCAACCAGAGGAAGAAGCCAGGAAACAAAGGAAGCTCCTTCCTTCTATAAGTTTCCAGAGGGGGTGGGTGCCCTAAGTTAATACATAACTTTTACTATGAGGAATACATGAGTTGGAGGCACTAGAAAAGAAACAAGTCCATAACTCAAGGCCTCAGCAGCCCTGGGCATTTGCCTATATTAGCAGAGGTAGAGGAAGGGCTTTATTTTTTTTAAATGTACATAAGTGCTTTGCCTGGATGCATGTTTGTGCACTATACATGTGCCTGGTGTTCATAGAGACCAGAAAAAGGTAACAGACACTGGAACTGAAGTTATAGATGGCTGTGAGCCACCATGTGGGTGTTGGGAACTGAACTTGGGATAGCAAGTGTTCTTATCCACAAAGCCATCTTGACTCAAAGGCTCTGAAAAGACTCTTGTTTAGTGTTCTGCTGTTAAGCCTGCAGAGAGAGATAGACCTGGGACTGCAGTGAGGTATGGCTAGAACTTTCCCTGGCTGCCACCTCAGGTTTCTTAACACAGCTTTCTTAAGATGGCAGAACCATCATCCAACAATAAATAGGTTAAATATTATTTCAGCTCTTAAAGCGTATGAGGCTAAATATGGCAATCAAGGTTAAAGAATAAAGTAAGAGTGATTATGAGCAAGACATGATGCATGCCTGTAATCTCAGCACTTGGGAGGCTAAGGGAAGAAGATCTGGAGTTCCAGTCCAGCCTGGGGCATATAGTGAGACCCTGTCTCAAAAATAAAACAAACAAAACAAACCAAAAAACTTCCTGATAGCTAAGCATAAAAGTCTCAAAAATAAATGTGTTGAAAAAAACCAGAATATTAAGAGAGCATTCATTATTAAAATGCCACACATATAATGCACAGAGTAAAAAAAGTCTGCAGAGTTACATATGGAAGTGTCTATAACCTTCATTTTCCTGTGGTAGGCTAACAGGTGATAGTTTTATTTTTTTATGCTTTTCAACAAAGTTGTATAATTCAAGGGAGGAATAGAAAAAAAGCAAAGGAAAGTAAAAATCATCAAGGAGTTCCAGTTCACACAGCATCCTGGTGACATGTTAGGAGTTCAGTTTTGGAGCCAGCCATGCTTAGAATCCTAGCACTTAGGAGATCAAGACAGGAAGATCAGGAGATCAAGATCATCCTCAGCTACATTGCAAATTCAAGGCCAGCCTGAACTATATGAGACCTAGTCCTGGGGGGAGGGGGTTCAATTTTGAAACAAAAGAGCAGATATGTGGACCTAAGATCTAAACAGGAAAAAAAAAAATGTGCTTTGTCTAAGGAGCTCATCCTAGATTTGAGCAATTAAGTAACCTAAAAAAAATAAATAAAAAGGATTGGGGAGAGATGGCTCAGTAGTTAAGAGCACAGACTGCTCTTGCAGAGGACTCAGGTTCGAATCCCGGCATCCACCATCCTTAACTCCAGTTCTAGGGGAATCTGACGCCCTCTTCTGACCTCCAAGGCATTGCACGACATGGGTGCACTCACATACTTGCAGGCAATATACTCATACACATAAAATAAAAATAATAAAAAAATATATTTAAAAAAAAAAGGATCCTGTGGTTAGGATTCAGGATGGGAACCAAATTAAGAAGAGTAAGACAGGAAGGGCATTGTGACACAGGCCTTTAGTTCTAGTACTTGGAAGGCAGAGGCAGAGGCAGGTGGATCTTTGTGAGACTGAAGCCAACCTGGTATACATAGTGAGTTCTGAGGGAGTTAAGGCTATAGGAAGCCTCTTTCTTGAAAAAAAAAAAAAAAAAAAAAAAAAAAAAAAAAAAAAAGACAAAAAAGACAAAAAAGCTTAAAGCAGGCTAGATGTGGTGGCACACACCTTTAATCCCAACACTCAGAGCCAGAGGCAGACAGATCTCTGTGAGTTCAAGGCCAGCCTGGTCTACATAGTGAGTTCCAGGACACCTGGGGCTACAGGGAGACCCTGCTTCAAAAAGACAAAAAAAAAAAACACTAGCACGTATATTCTTGTAAATTAGACATATGTGGTATATAAGTTATACGGAGCACATAGTACTTAAGTTTTGAGTAATTCCAAACACCTTCACTTAATAATGTAAGTAGTTTGTGTTTTATTGGGGGGGGGGGCTGTGTGGGTTTGTGCACATGTGTATATTATGTGGCTGCATGTGTGTGAGCATGTATATGGGAGGCTAGCATGCATATGGAAAACATGTCAAGTGTTTTCCTCAGCATCTCCACCTTATTTTTTATTGAATTTTTGTGAATTTTATACAATTATATTTTGACCCTATTAAGACCCCCTCCTATCTGCATCCCTCTCATGGCCTCCCTGCTGGATTCTATGTGCTCTGTCAAAATGTCCTTCAAATGTCTCCAAATTTCCTTTGGTGTGTGTTCATCCACTGGAGCCCAGTTAACCTATCTAGCACCACACCCTTAAAGAAAACCAACTCTCCCTCTCCTAGTAGTTACCAGTTACCAATAGTTCCTCAGCTAAGGCTGATGCTTCTTACCCATTTCCCCTTTTCTGTGCTGGGATTTTTGTCAGGCTTGAGCTTGCGTGGGTCTTTTGCATGCTGTTACCAATGTCCACCTTAGTTTTTGAAACAGAGTCTCTCACTGAACCTGGAACAAAGCAACTTGGCTAGACTGGCTGGCCAATGAGCTCTAAGGAGTTGCCTGTCTCCACCCACCCAGCAGTGGGGTTGCAGATCCATGTTCTTACAGCCAGCTTTTACATGGGTGCTGGGGATGTGAACGCAAATCCTCAAGCTTTTAAGAAAGCACTTTACCAGGGAAACCATCTTACTAGACTCTACTCATTTATTATTTTAATAGCTACTGCCAAATAACATCCAAAGTACACTCAGACTCACATACATGACTATTTCCTTATATCTTAAAATTTTATTTATTTTTATTTTTGTGTATGAGTATTTACCTACATATATGGAAATGCACCACATGCATGCAATGCCTGGGGAGGTCAGAAGAGGAAGTAGAGTTACAGTTGGTTTGAGCCGCCATGTGAGTGGTGGGAACCAAACCTGCATCCTCTGCAAAAGCAGCCAGTGCTCTTAATCACTGAGCCATCTCTCCACCCCCTATTTCATTACATATTGAATAATAATGAAATAAACATTTCACATCTTGCTAATCTTATTAGTAAAAGATTCGTATCTAGTTTTAATGTTCAGTGCTCAATGCTATTTGACGAACATAATTCTGTAACTGTTTATATTTTTCTATTGGGTTGTCTTCTCATTACTGATCTCCAGGGCTCTTTGTATATTTAAAACATTAAGTGCTTAGCTATCAAGTATGTTGCAAATATTTTATTAAAATCTGTTATTGCCTTTTAATTTTTATGATGTCTTTTACTCTGTAAAAATATTACTAATTTCATTATCTCTATTATCATTTCTTGAAACAATATTGAGTTTCATTTTACTGTTTAGGAAGATTTTCTGTAAACCATAGTTAAGCATGTTTTTTTTTAGTAACAATATTTTTGTTTTTTATAATTTTATGCTTAAATCCACTATATTTTAACATGATATAAACTACTGCCCCAAATTTGTCTTTTTACAAATAAACAACTATCTCATATCATTGAATAGAAGGTTTTCCAGACTTAAACAGTCTTCTATTTTTCTGTCTCCATAAATTACTATGTTAATAGTATACTAATTGTAGTAGCAATAATTTGTTATGGTAATACTCTTTCATATATAATGCTTATGGATATTTTTGCAGTGGACAATTTATGGTCTTATTTCTTGTTTTGCATAGTTTAAAATAAAAGCTTTAAGTCACTATCTTGTAAAAAATATATTTGTTGTACATTTTACTATATGATAAGGCAAGTGTCTCCTATTTGATCCAGCCAAACATAAATTATATTCATCATTTCTGGAAAATAAACTTGCAACATTCAACATTAGATTTTTATTCTTTGAAATCATCCATGAGATTAAAAAATAAAATTTTCCATAATTTTTTTTGAGACAGGTAGCCCCAGCTGCCTGGAACTCAGGCTGGCCTTGAACTCACAGAGATTCACCTGCCTCTGCCTCCCAAGTTCTGGGATTCAAGGCATGTACCACCACACTCAGTTTTGTTTTTTTTTTGTTTTTTGTTTTTTCATATTTTTTAAATTAAAAAAGCCAGTGGGGACTGTACTATAATACTGACTTCCCATCCAGGATCAAAGTATCATAGCATATATTTCTTTTACAGATATATACATTTATATATTTTCATACTGATTTTGTTAATATAATTACTTTCACATTTTAATTTTTTTATTTTTATGTTATGTGTCTGAATGTTATGCCTGAATGCGTGTAAGTGCACCCATACCATGCAGTGCCCTAGGAGGACAGAAGAGGGCACCTTATCCCCTAGAACTGGAGTTACTGAATGTTGTTAGCTGCCACATGGGTGCTGGGATTCGAACCTGGGTATTCTGCAAGAAAGGCCAGTGCTCTTAACCACTGAGCCATTTCTCCAGCCCTACATTCACATTTTAATATTAATACACAGCTAATACTTATTAAATAAGCTAAAACATTTACTTTGTATGCTAGTATGTATTACAATTTTTAGTAGAATTTCTTGAGCATTTTATATAGTCTGTAAATAATGATAATCTTTGGTCTAGCAATAATTCTAGGACTCTGTCCTAAAGAAATAACAGAATAATGATGTATGAGTATATTCATTTCAGCTGAGCACTGTGGTGCAGCCTCTAATCCCAACACTTAGAAGGGAGAGGCAGGAGGATCTCTGGTGAGATTGAGGCCAGCCTGATATCCATAGTCAGTCAAGGCCAGCAGATAGATAGACGATAGATAGACAGACAGATAGATGGATAGATGGATAGATATGTTCATTTCAGCATGCTCACAATAACAAAATATGGCAATAAATACGATAGATATATAATAATTATGGTATGCCTATATGGAGTTACCAAAAAACGCAGACGATAAAGCCATATACTGGTAGGGGAAAAACTGCCCACATATATTGTTACATGAAAAAGTAACAAGTTAAGAACAAATATAGTAGGTTCCATTTTCATAGTTATATATAGCTGTATATACTTATAACTATATACACACAAATGTTTATTTAATGTTTAACCTATTAAGTGTTCTAAATGTATGTATAAATAAGAAAAGTCATGGAATAAACACATCCAGCTGATTACCTCTGAGAAGAATTGCTATAATATAACAAAGGATATAATTTTACAAGTTACAATCTTTTTTCTTGTTTTGTCACTAGCTTGAAATAAACACATAAAATACAAGAGTCAATGCCCCAAGATACTCTGCATTGGGCCTAGCAGAACAGGAACCCTAGAATCAGCTTTTGTTTAACTGCTGTCACTTCAGTGGAATATATATCACTTGACATCTCAACTTGTTTTCTGTGAGCTCCATTCAGCCTCTGCAAGACCCTAAACTTGCCCAGATCCACGGCATTGCACAACACAGGTGCACTCACATACATGCAGGCAATACACTCATACACATAAAATAAAAATAATAAATAAAATATTTTTAAAAAGAAAGCATGCAAAGATGTGGGGCATGTCTAAGGTGGCAATACTAATCAGTACCTTTAGGGCTCCTGGTTGTTTCTCAGATACTTACTACTTTGGCAGACAGGAAAGGGAGGTGCCCAGGTATGGTCCTCCAGGCACTGGCTCCAATTACTGCCCTTGAGGATGTAATGGTCATTGCACTTAAACATAATTTTATCGCTTACATTCACAGGCCCTGAAGAATTGAACTTGCCATTTGCCAATACAGGGTCCGGACAGTGGCCCACTGAAGAAGAAAACAGACAGTGATGTGAAAGGCCAGGGAGAAGCAAAAGCCACACTTCCTTGGGCTTCAGAAAGAAAACAGTATATTAGAACTTAAAGGTGCACATGTGTCTAATAGGATAGATATGTAGTACCAAACATACAAATGAAGGATGGGGAAAAACCAAGATATCATAAGGTATTGGTCTGTTGTATAGAAACTACTTCCAAAGCTCCTTAAGACCTAGGAAGTTCTAAAGGAGGCTCCTTAAGACTCAAAAAGTAAACAGCTTAGAAGCCGCAGGAAGTCCCTGAAAGTGACCAGATGCACAAGGCTCCTCCCTCCCCAAATTAGATAAGCAGTAAGGTCTGCTAAGGAGACATTCAGATGTGCCAGGTAAGCTTCTGGAAATCCAACCTATTGAGCTACATGCAAGTAGTGCACAGAGCTCCAGGGTTCTAAGTTTCATAATAGATCACCCATGCTAGGGCAGACTTCAGGGTGAGGCTGCCTTTGAAATGTTCCCCCTTTGAAATGTAAGTAACCTCTCAACCCATTCTCCTGTAAATAACCATAATGAACTCATTGGTTCACCAAGTTCAACTTGGTGCTATTCTCACATTGGTCTGCTATCAGTTCCCTATCTGGGACATCTCCCAGGAATAGTGTCACATAACATGGCCAATGCACAAGAATGACATGAGTGTCAATTGAATCTACTAAACATAATCAAGCACATAACTGGCTATTATCAGATGTATGTTCATTATACTGTTATGTTAAACATTGCTCAAAGTTCTAAACTCTATATTTCAAGCAGATCTTTGCTTCCTTTTCATTTAGACAAATAAATACTTACCTATTTCTTTTTTATTTGTTATATTTTGTTTTGTTATTTCTTCTTGTGGAAAAACAAGAGACAATGCAGACAATTTTTTCATATGAAAGAAACTAAAATGTTGGTTAGGTATGCAGAAAATTAACACAGCTATTTTTAAAAATAGTAATAAAAAGATCTAGAATAATTATTCTCCATCATTACAGAGGATAACCACAAGTTGTCACACTGAAAAAACCACTTGAATCTCACTTATCACATTTGTAAATTCAGAACACAAATTTTTCACAGTTCAAAAGTAACATGATGTCCAGACATTGGTAGAGTGCCTGAAGTCCCAGCACAGGGCAAGGGCTACAGCAGGGGGCTGCAAGTTCCAGGTATCTCTACATAGCAAATTCTAGACCAACATGGACTATCTTAGTAAGATCTGTCTCAGAGGCACATAGGAGGGAGGGGTGGAGAGGAGGGTGGCTTCCTAGAAACTGGGTTTTTTTTTTTAATCAAGTCTTAACATAGCCTATAGAAAGCAGGATATAAAATAATAGAGCAGATGACAATATGGGTAAAGTAGCCCAACTTACAGCGGCACTCAGTAAAGGAGGTATCCCACTCCTTAGAGGCATTGCAAACCAAAGCTTTCTGTCCTATCAAGTGGTAGCCTTTGATACAAATATAGGTTCCCAGAATCTGCCCTTCTACTTCCTTTGCAACAAACACACTATTGTCAACCGGAGGAGGTTCTGGACAGCTCTCTGCTGGAAGGAAAAAAAGAACAGAATCATCTGGCTGCAAGGAAACCCCCACTGGATTCCTACCTCCACGTTTTGCTGTCTGACCGATCCTGATTCCTTGTGATCTTCCATGTGTATGTGTATTCCTGTCCCTCTTCTCCAAGAATTTCTAAAGTTATTTTTACAAAAAGATAATAGACACTGTAGTCAAATTCATCCAACAAGTTATCTGTTCCTGAACAAACAATCCCTTCACAAGTAGCAGTCAGAGTTTTTTAACAGTTAACGTCTCAGGATTTGAAATTGTCACACTTTTTTTTTGGAAGGGAAAAGTCAGTAATAACCACCCACTTCATGGAAAAGGATCATCGTTAATACATACTAAGCCCTCAATGAGTATATGGCATATACAGTAATTTGAAATTTTTCTTTTATTTTAAATATTTTCTTTATTAATTTTATTCTCTGTGTATGAGTATATTGCCTGTATATGTGTAAGTGTGCCCATGTCGTGCAATACCCACAAAGAAGAAGGTATCGGATCCATAGAAGAGGGCATTGGATCCTCTGGAACTTGAGTTACAGTTGTTAGCCTCTGTGTGAGTGGTAGGAATTATACCTGGGTCCTCTGCAAGAATAACTAGCGCTCTTAACCACCAAACCATCTCTCCAGCCCCTGAACTTTTTCAATGTCAAATATCATAGATGTAAACTTTATTAAATCCTGGCACAGAATCCTCATAACCTGCAAATTGCTATCAAATGTCTTGTAAGGAAATCATACTTACCATCTGAGGCAGAAGTTAGCCACATAAAACAGCACAAAATCCAACAAAGCATGTGATGAGCAATTACTTGATCCAGGCTGGAATTTAACCCAGCCCAGACACCGGATTTCATTAAAACGCCTTCTTCTAACCACTTAAGATCAAACCAACAGCTTCCTTCTAGAGAAGGAGTTATACTTTTTCCCCTGGAACAAGTGTAAAAAGAAAAGTATATCCTGGAACAGGGAATACAGCTAGCAAAAAGAAGGCATCTCTAAGGACCTTGCAACCACAAAAGGGTGGTTAAAGCGCTACCAGTTTGAAATTTTTGTTTAAGAAATTTTCCAGTTTCTGGGAATTCAAACCAGCTGACCAGTCCCTTTGAACTGTAGGTTTTTCCTTCCCCAGTAGACATGGGCCAAACAGTCCTGCTATGACCTTGACTTCTGTCAATATTTGCCAGTGTTTACAGTCCATTGGCTGCAGTTCTGGGGACAGAAGATAGAGTGCTAATCAACCAATAGTGCTTTCCCAGTTAAGACCAACTCAAGTGTCATCTCCTCTCCCCTTTTCCAAATACTCTGCCATGCCAGAGATGGCATTGACTGGATGGTGACATGCAGACTGAATGAATGCTCCGAAGACTGAAGAAAGCAGCAGTAGCATTTATCAGACACAGTAAAGCCACAGTTGACAAAACTGTACAGGAAAAAATGTCTGTCTAGAGGCATTGTAAAAGGGCTGTGTTTATGGGGAGACAGGAATTTTTACACAACCAGTCATTGTTTCAATGTGACACTGTCCAGGTATAATTGCAATGTAAGCTGATTGCGGTTAGAGGCAATGATGGTTTTGCCTTGAGTCAGAAATGGCTTTAACACAATCCCTGTCCTGAACTGGGATCCACACTTTGTAGCTAGAGTTCATTATGATTAACTCTTTCTGATGAGCTAACAGTCTTACTTGGAGGTAGCAGTGGCCTCGCTCTGAGCCCAGACTCTGAGTCAACAGTAGCCTTGCTTTGAGGTGAGAACAGCTCAGTTCAACCATCCATCCCAGATCAGCTTCCACACATTAGCTATCCCAGGCCTGCACTCAGGACTAGACTGGATACTAGGAAAACTAAGGTTACTTTTTGGGGTCCTTAGTCTCATTAATAAAAGAAGGAAGCTCAGGGACAATTGTATTAGTTTGAGAGAAAAACAACAGGGCAGGCAAGCTGTAAATCCTGGTTGCTGCCAGGAAGAGGAAGATGGAGAAAAGCACGCAAGCAAGCCATTCCTTTAGCAAGGGAGGCTGGAAAGCAGCTGCAGGGTGGAAGGTGCGGGAATTTCCAGGAAGAGTGAAAAAAACCCACTGTCAGAGAAAACCATGCTAACACTTTTAGCCAATATACAAAAGAAAAAGAAATTGAAGGAAGGAAAAGTTACACTCTTTGAACTTAGGACTCAGAAAAGCAGATAGGCTCTGCAGTGCTACCCTGTAGAAACACTGCCATGTCTGCCAAAGGGTGGGGGTGCGCTTTTGGTCAACACATTTTCTCATTAAGGAGATTAGTCCTCCCCTCTCTGCTGGTCTTCAGGTGAACCAACTTCCTGTTTGGTGGACTGCTGGACAGATGATTGACAGGCCCAGCTGGATAAACTTTAATGAGAAGGCAACAATAATATGCAATGTTTTCTGGTAGCTTAGAATGTCAGCTCTCTACCCAGAGTAAGAGGCAGAATTTAGATTCTATTCTTTAGACTAAAAGGAAGTATCTTCACCTTAATGGGCCTCAATAAAGCCCAACCCCCTACCTTCTCAGAGGATACTAATTTAAATCCTAAAGAGGGACTTTCCTTTCTAGTGCTATCAAAGAAACAGGAAGTGGTCACCAAGGCTACTAATCCTTGTAATATAAGGAAATGAGCTAACCTGGCCTGTCTCTGTCCTCTAGATCTATGTCTTCTCAGCAAGGGGATGGTCTCAACCAATTCCAAACCTAAGCACTCCTGCAGGTCCCCCTCATATGCCACATCTATACCACTAGACTTCTCACTGTTTCTATTCCTGGGGTAGGATTTGGCTAGAGTGGAGCATTAACCAAATGAATGAAGAAAGTTAAAAGGCTTCAATAAAGTAATAACTATAAAGCATCTAAGAACACAATAAGCTCTTAAATATTGCCTTTTCCACTTATTATTGTTAGGTAAAAAGTTGCCAGAGAACAAACGAATGGAGGATGAGGCACCAAGACACAGATAAAACTCTCAAATGGATAGAGCTTTATTTTGCACGGGACACGTTCCCTTTGGGGAAGGGAAAATAGCCCACAGACTGTGAGCTGGGGCTTCTATACGGGGTCTTCAAGGTGCAGAAGGTGGGAAGTTTTAGGAAAAAATCAGGAGGGGGAAAGCAGGAAAAGTGAGGCTTGTAAACCCAGCTCAGTTCCATCTGCCAGCCAGAATCTGGTTCAGGAAGTGTTTAATTTTTTGTCATCCTATGGGAAAAGCTGCTGTACTAAAGCGGCTCCTAAACTCTTTGGTTAACAGGCAGGATCTGCTTATCTTGTCTTCAGAGATCAGAGGAAAGGCAGGCTGCCTCTTAAAAGAGTCTGCTTCCCTTGACTTCAAAGGCCAAGGTGCTTATCAGCTCAGTTCCCTTTATTCAGGGACTTAAGAAATCTGAAGTCCTTGGGACCCTGTTGGAGAAGGGGGGAGGCTGCTGTGATTTGAAACCCTAATATTCCAGCCTTTTGTGTTATAGGATAGGGGGCACCATTGTCATTTTGCTACTTCCTGCTAGACAAGGTCGATGTGGGGGGTAGGCTGGTTTAGGGGTCCACTAGACAGCAGGGGTTCTCTCTCTGAGCATCTGAACAGGGTCCTCAATGGTTGACAGGCATTCGTATACATGTGAAGGGAAGGAAAGTAACAACTGATTAAAATTAGTATGTGTTAGTTTTCGGATTTGGTCCTGAAAATGTCTGACAAGGCAAGGAGCACTGACTGGCACCAAAGTGATAGAAAGCAGGGGGCCCAATAAGGGCGGAAGCCAAGGAGTTAATCCTGTAAAAATATCCCATTGAGCTGACCGTTGGTACTGGGAATTTTTAAATGAAAGATTTTTCGCTACCTGTTTAAGTTGTTCTATATCATACTTGACCTTACCAGACAGGTTGACAGAATAACAGCATTCTTCACCCCCAAAAAATACAGGTTCCCCCTTTTTCTGCAGTTAATAGATCCAGGGCTCACCTGTTCTGGAGAGCAACTTCAGCTAGGGAGGATAATTGTTGCTGCAGGAACTGGATTGACTGGGCCATAGTTTCCACTGTTGAGGTGAGCTCCTGTCTGAGGTCCTCTATTTCCTGGGAAAGGTGCTGGGTTGAGATCAGCGTGTGTCCCAAGCTTCCGGCCACGAGTCCATTGGCTGCCACTGATGCCACAAGGCTAACTCCTACCAGGACTGTCAAGGTGCCTGACTTCTTGTTCTGGTTCCTTCTTTCCCCGTGGATAAGACATCATACACCTCTCCTGGTATGTATAGGGTTAGTTTGGGTATGAGAATGACTGAAGCGCAGGTGTCCTCAATCTGTGGAGAGATGCAGGAGTATATTTTGGAAGAACAGAGAAAAAGCAATCCTGAGGTTAGAGCAGTATTGCCCTTAATTATGACATTTCGGCTTGATGAGTGTGGGCAGAGGTTTGTGGAGACCAACACTCTGTTTTGTCAAGAAAAAGGGGAGGAGCATGGAGGTGCCCACATATTAGGAGTTCCTGAGAACACTGAATAGTGGCCTGGGGAGTAACATTGTAAACTGAGAGAGGGATAAGAATTGAGCCCTATGGGGGGGGGCACAGAGGAAGCAAGTGGACACATTAGCACTAGAAAAGTTCCTCAGGAGATTAACTGGTAAAGTGAGAATGCAATCCCAAGAGAAGCTGCAGGAGGCATTGAAGCTTTAAGCCGCAGTGTCTGATCCAGGACTTTCATAGCCCTCTGGGGCCTTGAATCCTGAATTGTCTTTATCTTTACTCACCAGCGCTCTATGGCAGCTGCTGTGTACTGGATCCCTGCTGCAGCAATGCACTCCCCTGTCCATGAGTGTGGGTTAAGTATTTTAAAGACCACTTCCCCACAGACTCCGTTTTATACCGATTGTGTCTGTGTAAGAGTGAATCCCTGCTGCACTTACGATCTGTCGGGTCAGTTACCCGAGTGAGTTGGTTTGTGCTCATTCTATATCTACCCCATCCCTCTTTGCCCACCCCACTCAGCCAATGATAGTTGCAATTCCATGAGGGGCAGCCTTCCCAATTGCCAGGGTCCCTGCATTCCCTTTTGGTTTGATCATCTATGAAGCAGAGGAATCTGCCATAGCAGGCATCTACCATGTCAAATTGAAGAGAAATAGTGTTACATGAAGAAAGTGGGCATGTAGCGGAGCTAAGGAGCTCGAGTTCTCAGTTTCTATTATTAATCTTCCACATTTCAAATCTATAAGAACATGGTGGGTAGGTGCAGGGGGGAATGCCTGAGGTAGGGTTCAGAGGGAAGAATAGAAGTAGGGTCAGTAGAAAATTCATTCCTGAATTGGTGTTAAGGGAGGGATCCTCAAGATTTTCAATTTAAGAGGCCCGATACTGGTGGCCTGGTACTTTCTGTGTTCCTTGGCCAGTTTAAATTTGGAGAGGTGAATCCAACCAGGTTGTCCTGAGAGCTTGGCTGCAGTCGGGGTAGACAAGATCACCAGGTGAGGACCAGTCCACCATGGCTGGAGGGTTTCCTTCACTCCTTTCTGTTGCATGTGAACCTGTAGGTAGCCATGATCTTCAGGTTGAAGTGGGTGGTCAATCTGGCCTTTAGAAGCCTGAGGAATAATCCAGTCAGCATGGGCCTTGAGATGTTTTCTTAGAAGGGTGAAGGCAGATTAAATAGTCATGTTGAGGGGAGGAATGCTGGAGTAGGAGGTCGTTGAGAAGGAACGGTCTCCCATACATAAGTTCAAAAGGACTGAGGAAGGAAGGAAGGAGCCCTTAGGATGGGTCTCAGTTTAGCAAAGGCAAGGGGCAGAAGAGTCACCCAGGGTTGGTGTAACTCTAGGGAAAGTTTAGTAAGGTGGTCCTTAAGAAGGGAGTTAGCTCATTCCACCTCCCCTGAGGATTGAGGGTGGTAGTGGATGTGTAACCTCCAGGTTATTCCCAGGGACTGAGAGACTGCCTGAGTTACTTTGGAGATAAAAACCAGACCATTATCTGATTAGAGAGTGAGGGGAAGACAGAAACGAGGAAGAATATTTTGAATTAAGTAGTTATCCATGATATCTGCTGTTTCACCTGTTGTGGGAAATGCTTCTACCCAGAAAATGTATCTGCCCAAACCAGGAGATACTTAATCTTTTTGTGAGTA